TATAACAGTAACAAAAAACATGACTCTAGAAATTGGGAATGAAGGGTTTTAAAAAAACCGAAAAGTTAAAATTGAGACCCCTTTTGCGGGCATATGGGAATCTTTTTTTCCGGGAAACGTTTGGGCCACACAGGGGGCTTCAATCAGTCCAAAAAAAGAGGAAGGCATAAGGAGGGAGGAGAATGAGGTAATCATTCCCTCAACCGGGGCCCGATTGTTCATCCATAAATTTCTTGTAAAATGAAAAGCATGGGGCCGTAACGTGGCTTTTTTAAACTGAGGGGAGGTGACGTGAAAGCAGTTTAAAGGGGGGGTCATAGTGGTACCACCCAAATTGTCGAAGTAGTTTTCGTCCAAAGGTTGAAAAAATTTTGAAAAAATTTTTTTTGTAACAAGATCCCATGAGCTGCAGGGGCTGACAGTTGTGATAAAGGTTTGAAAAACCGACAATTTAAAAATTGAGACACTTATGCGCATATGGGAACCCTTTATTGGGAAAAAACTTTTCGCCAAAAGGGCTTCATCAGTCCAATACAAAGGGGGAAGGCAAAAGGGAGAGGGGGAGAAGGAGGTAATAAATCCCTAAACCTGGGTCGATGTGTTCAGTCCATAAATCTTGTAGAATGTACAGCATAGGGCCGTGGGACGGGGCCCTTTTATATTAGTGGGGTACGGGGAAGAGAGGGAGGGGGGGTTTAAAAGTGGTACCATCCACTAGTCGAAGTAGGTTTCGTTAAAAGGGTTTAAACAAGTTTTGAAGAATTTTTTTGAAACAAGACCCCTTGAGCTGCGTTCTGACATTTTGTGAGAAGGGTTTTGAAAAACCGACAAGTTGAAGATTGAGACATTTATGCAGCATAGGGGGAATTTTTATTCGGGAAAAACGTTTCGCCACACAGTGGCTTCATCATCCAATAAAAAGGGGAAAGGGCAAAAGGAGGGGAAGGAAATGAGGAATAGTCCCTCAACGGGGTCGATGTGTTCATCCATCAATTTTGTAGAATGTACAGCATAGGGCCTGCGTGCTTATATATGTAGTGGGGACGTGAAAGCCCGATGGAGGCGGGGTTCAACCTTTGGACGAAGACCTATTGACTATGGATGGTACCACTAGACCCGCCCCTCTGCTTCACGCCCCTCACTACAGTAATAAGCCCGTTAGGGCCCTATCTTAATCTAAAGATTGATGGCTGAACAATCGCCCCCGGGTTTTAGGGATGATTCCCTCATTCCCCTCCTCCCCCTTATCCCTTTCCTCTTTGTATTGGATATGAAGCCACTTGTGGCAAACTTTCCCGAATAAAGCCCCCTATGCGAAAATTTTCAATCTTCCCCTTGTCGGTTTTAAAACCCTTTCAACAACTGTCAGACCTGCGCATCAGGGGATCTTGTACAAAGAATCTTCCCCACTTGTTAAACCTTTTGGAAAAAGAGTACTTCGCTAGGGGAGGGTCCACTAGCCCCCGCCTCCATCTGCTTACGTCACCTCAACCAGTATAAAAAGCCACTCTAGGGCCCTATTTACTTTCCAAAAGATTGATGGCTGAAACATCGACCCCAGGTTGGGGGGATGATTCCCTACCCCTCCTCCCCTTATCCCTTCCTCTTTGTTTGGACTGATGAAGCCCTGTGTGGCGAAACGTTTCCTGAATAAGATTCCATATGCTGCATAATGTCTAATCTTCAACTTGTCGGTTTTTTCAAACCATTCAACAACTGTCAGACACTGCCATCAGGGATCTTGTTACAAAAATTTTTAACACTTTTTAAACCCTTTGGACGAAGACCTACTTCGACGGGGTGGTGGTACCACATGACCCGCCTCCCTGCTTCACGTCACCCACTCAGTATATAAGCCCGTTCGGCCCATGCTGTACATTCTAAAAGTTTGAGGGACTGAACACATCGACTCCAGTTTGAGGGACTGATTACCTCATTCTCCTCCTCTCCTTTCCCTTCCCTTTGTATTGGGACGGGGAAAAAGCCCCTGGGGGCGAAACGTTTCCTGAAAAAAATTTCCCCATATGCGCAAAAAGTGTCTCAATCTTCAACTTGTCGGTTTTTAAACCATTCTAAAACTGGCAGCATGCAGCATCAGGGGGATCTTGTTACAAAAATTTTCAACACTTGTTAACCCTTTGGACGAAGACCCTTCGACTAGGGGTGGTACCACTAGACCCCGCCTCCATCTGCTTCACGTCACCTCACTCAGTATATAAGCCACGTTAGGGCCAGCTGAAATTTCTACAAGTTTGATGGACTGAAACATCATTTCCATTGAGGGATGTTTCCCCTCTTTCTCCTTCCCTTAGCCTTCCTTTTGTATTGGACTGATAAAGCCACTGTGTGGCAAAAACGTTTCCTAAAAAAGATTCCCTATGCGCTAGGGGGCTAATCTTCAACATGCTTTGCAAACTGGTGGTTTAAAAAAAACAACAACATGACTCTCAACACTTTGGTATAACATAACAACCAACATGACTCCACCAGCGGGGTTTTTAAACTAACAAAAAAATTATCACTCAATTATGCTATAACAGAAACAACGAACAGACTCTCAACACGTGTGGTTAACATAAAAAAACCAAACCCGATTCACAATGTTTAGTATACGTTAACAACCAAAATGATTCACCACTTTTCTAACGAAAACAACCAACATAACTTCGCGCCTGAGTGGTTAGCAGCAACAACAACATGATTCACACACTGTGGGGTTTATAAAGTAAAAAAAATCATGTTCTCACACACGGGGGTATAACTAACAATCAGAATGTTTCACACAATATGTGGTAAACAGTAAAACCAACATATTCCCATTTGTGGTAAACAGTAAAAAACCAAAATTTTTCCCCAAACTGTTGGTAAACGAAAACCCAATATGTTTCACCCACTGTGGGGTTAACGAAACAAACAATTTTACACACTGTTGGTATAAAAGAACAACCATCATGATTCCATGTGTGGAAAAACATAAAAAAAAATTAAAATTATACACGCTGGTGGTATAACATAAAAAAAAAAAATATAATATCACACCTGTGTGGGTATAAAAATAAAAACGACAGATTACACGTGTGGTATAACATAAAAACCAACATGACCTCCCCAAAAGTGTAATCAGTATCTCCAACTGTTAAACCACTGTTGGATAAAATAAAAAAACCAACATGACTGTCAAAACCGGGGGTTTATAACAGTAACAACCAACAGTTCACCCGGGTTAGTTAACATTAAAAACCCAACATGACTTTCACACACTTAGGGTATAACATAAAAAACCAAATGTTTCCCAACACGTGTGCTGTAACGTAAAAACCGACATGATTCACACATGTGTGTTTATAGCAATAACAAAAACTGACAGATGCACTGGTTGTTTTAAACAGAAACAACCAACATCTCTAACACCACTGCGGGGTTATAACAGTAAAAACCAAAATTTTTCACCATGGTGGATCAAAACAAATCATGATTCAAAATATGTGGTAACCGAAAAAACCAAACATGATTCACACCCTAGGGGTATAACAGTAACAACCCCCTGGTTTCACACAGGTGGGTATAACATAACAACCAAACTTGATTCACACACGTTGGTATAACAGTAACAAACAACAAACTCTCACACACAGTATGATAAAACAGAAACAACCAACAATGCGTGTTAACATTAACACCAAATGTTTTCTCAACACGTGTGGTAAAAGGTAACAACCTACGACTAACACTGTGTGGTTAACAGTAACAACAACATGTTTCCACAATGTGTGTCATAACGAACAACCTACATGATTTCCACACACTGTGTGGTATAACGTAACAGCTGACATGTTTCCCAACACTTGGGGTACAGCAGTAACAACCAAACATGAACTTACCATGTGGGGTATAACAGTAACAAGCAACATGTTTCACCATTATGGGGTAAAAACAGTAACAACTAACATAATTCAAACTGTTTGGATAAAAGTAAAACCAACATGACTCAACACACGTGTGGTATAAAAGAAAAAAACCACTGCCCCTCAACCTGTGTTGGTACATACATAACAACCAACATGATTCAAAACACTGTTGGTATAATAGTAACAACCAACTTTTGGCCACTCGTGGTATAACAGTAACAAAATACATAATATTCACGTGTTGGTAAAACATAAACAACGAACGTGTTTTCACCACTGTGGGGTTTTTAACAA